ATTGTATTTACATTTTGTTTTTTTAAGAAATTACTTATTTTATCGGATACTATGGGAACATAATTCAACATATTAAATTTTTTGGTTTGTTTTGCGACTGCGTAAAAATATTTTGAAATAAGTCTATTGTTTATTTTAAAAATTAGATCATCTATGAGGTTTTCATTGTAACCATTATTAATTGCTAAACATTTTAATAGATTGATTTCCTTTTCGTAATTAGATTTCGTTAACGGTACTGTTAATAATCTATGTACAAAAGAGTAAAATGCGCTCATTTTTATATTGATGGACTGCTTTGAATCGTACGGTACTAACGTATCTGTGAAAGTTGGTTTTCTATAAATTTCATACAACAACTCACCGTCTTTTCGTGTTATTTTTAGATCCGGAAAATTTAAACTATTGTCATTTTCAGCTTCTGCTTTTATTTTTTTAAATTTTTTACTTATTAATATACATTTTGTTTTTGTTTTGTTAAAAGGTAGTATTATGGCAATATCATAATTTTTTAGAAAAATGCCATTTTTTCAATGTTTATTTCAAAATACTTGATTACGTTAGATACCGTTCATACTAGAAAGTACTAGATAGATACGAAGTCTGTGCAATATAGATACGGTGATCCACAATGGTCCCACTGAATTTCTACTAATAGTTGCTCATATGAAAATGTTCTGAACATACAAATGTATGCCGAGGTTAATTTGCAAAAATCATTCATAATTTTACCGAACGAAATAAATTTTCTGAAAAAGTACAGTTCCAGGATGTTCATTTAGGATGCGTTTTTTCTTTTATTAAACTACTTTATTGTATAATTCTCAAAAAAATTTTCATTCAGCTCATTACATAAATTAAATAACTCGTTCCAACAAAATTTTTAGATAAAATACCTAGTAATGAAACGCATTGATAATCTCAAATGTGTTATTTATTCAACTAGCTTTCATTCTTACATCTTTTTTATGTATTGACGGAATCCTAACATTCTAAATTACAGTTGTTTAATAACTAAGTAATTCTGACAATAAATAATTATTCATTATGATAATACGTACCAAAACCATAAAAGTGATGTACAATTTACTTAAAAATTTATTTTTATTGAATGATTTCTGATTTTTGTACTACTGAAAAAACAGATTATTCATGTATGATTATTAACTACCCCAATCGCTGAGTTACATGAAGCTTATGTATACAGCTTGTTATTCAGGGCACTCCGGGAAATAGTTATAGTTGCCTGTCTTATCGATTAGATTATATTGATACTATTATAGCTATATTACACGATTTATTGTGAGCAGCTGTTTTACTAAACAATACGTAAATCAGAAAATTTCTTGATTGCGTCTTTGACTCATGGCACAAGGTCAAAAAGAATTGAAAATTACGTTATGTTTTAGTCTGTTATCTCATTTTTCTCCTTGAGCTCCAAATTATTTAGCCTAATTGGGGCTTGATTAATTATGAGAAATGGCAAAGTTAAGTGACAATACTTTTTTTCCCAATAAAACAATAATTTTTTTAATAAATTTTGTTATTTAACTAGATACTTTAAGAGATCTATTTGTTGAGGTAAAAAATTTTAATTTTCTTTGGATTATCCGTTAATTGTTATCTACAATTTATATTTATTATGAAAATCAAACTCTTTCTATAGTTAATGCGTGCTTACCAACTAAGAAGACCGCAGGAACGGTACAACTAATAACTTAACACTGTTACTAAAAAATTTTTTATTTATTTATTACAAGTTTTACTCTAGATACTGAAATTAACGTATTCACGTTTAAGGCGTACGAAATCCAGGCTTTGAATAATAAGACGTTGATGTATTCAAAATATTAAAATTTTCATGCGTCATTTAAAATTTGCTGCCAAGTTAGTATCCTACGTGTAAGGGCTCGGGCACATGGAACCGCGTAAAGCGTATCGCGTATCGGGTAAAATTATAGGATCAGGGAAAGTTAGGTACAGTACGCTTCACGCGAAAAAATTCGTCATCGTGTACGTGGGAGTGAAAAATACGCGCGTAAGTGTTTTCAAACCAATCACAGCGAGTATTTCATTGGCTTTGCACATGCTGTCTCGCTCGAACTCATGGCAAAAATAAAGTTACGCCCGTATTTTTGTACCCATGTGCACGATGATGGATTTTTTTGCGTAAAGCGTAAATACAGTCAGCAGCTAATGTCAACAACAACAATTAAAGTATCAATTGTGTAATTAATCGAATTTCTGACATGAAAAACAAATCGTAAGAACTTTAGGCAAATTGTGGAAAGTCTATACGACCTATGCAATGACCCGATATCGCAAAGGAAAAGTGAGAAGTGCAATAATTAAGCTGTATGAAATGTATTAACGGCTCTCAAATAAAAAGAAAAAAAGAAGTATATACTTGACATGACATTTTGACATTTTGATATTTTTTTTTTACATGTACAGGTTAGAATTCACTTGCGTTGAGAACTTTGGAAGCTTTTTTTGTTGACAAGACAGCAGATTGGTCAACTCCCCTCTACTTCAAACTTACGCGAAACGCGAGGCTTTTACGCTTTTTCTATGTGACCACAAAGTGGCGTATACCTAACTTTCCTTACTTTCACGCAATACGCAATACCCTTTATACTTTACACGGTTTCATGTACCCGAGCCCTAAGGCTGCGTTTAGATAGAATCTGGGAGTCTGCCAGACTGGCATTGAAGCCCATTAGAGTGAGAGAGAGGTTAGATGTGGAGGGTATTCCAAAAGACAGGGCGCACGCGGGTCCACACTTTTGGAGCGTTCCAAAAGCTAAAATTGCGTGGGCCTAAACTGCTCTAACTTATAAGAGGATACACATCGTGAAGGGATCTTTATAAAACCAAAATGCATATATATTGTATATGTATTAGGTGTTTTACGTACATAGATTATTTAAATTAAATTAAAGTTTTTTGTTTATAAAGGATCCTTCACATTAATAATATCAGACTCATCACATAAGTCACCTAAAATCTACTCAGCCGATAACAAATCTGTACTTTAGACGCGCGCCTGCGACTTTTAGCTTTTGGAACGCTCCAAAAGCATCAATCCAGGCGCACGCGCCCCCTGCCTTTTGGAATACTCTCGTGGTCACGTGATGAACCTTTCTCTCACTCTTATGGGCTTCAATGCCAGTCTGGCAAACTTCCAGACTCCATCTAAACGCAGCCTAATGCTATATACGTCTTGTCTGGTTTTTTTCAAAATAGTTGTGGGTACACGCATACTTATACGCGACTTCAATTCGACATATATTTTTCATTATATATATTATTGAATATTTATGGGACGATTTTACTATGAGAGAGTCATCCACCTGCCCCTCTTGTCTGAGGCTTTGTTGTTCTTTACTATTATCTGAAAATTTGCATGCCACGATAAAAGGCACTGTACTAATTGCCTACTTATATGATACATCATGCGTGCTACCTACTGTGAAATTAGGAAATACTTGTAGCCGACATTACATTGTTGGTAGCTCTTCTTAATTTTAAGAATATGCCTATCTCAATTGTACACAAGCAAAATTCGACTTGCAGCCAATTTCATGGTAAAAACATTTTCAGGCTGAAACTAATACTGAAGAAATCTTAATTTGAGCATTTTGAGATACACAGGTCTTGTTTTCGTTATTCTAACGACTTTCTGGCCCATATTTGTCGGTAAAGCTGTGAAATAGGAATAAAGAGACTGAATTAAATCGAAATACATCAGAAATACTAGGAAAAATACTTAATTAACGATATTTCAACTTAAAATCGATGTACGTAGGATCTTTTTAAATTTACACTGGGCAACACCGCACCAATGCGTAGACTGTTCTCAGCAGTTTTTTCATTAGAGATTCAACTTTTTCTTCAACGGCTTCTATGTCCTATCTGACATGTTATGTCGGTTTGTTTATCTGCCTCTCGTCAGTTTCATTGATTGTCATGAGGATGGCGCTATAGGCGGGTTCACATCGCGAATAGTAACGCGGTCACCGAGGCCTCGTCTGCTTTTTCAAACTTACCTCGTAGCGCTCTCGTGCGACTTGATACATAATGATGCATGAAACCACAAAAGTGCCTGCAGGACTTAAAACTGCCATTCTCCTAATCCCCACCAGGCCAACCCTCGGACCCTCGGAGCGAATTCGTCGCTCTTATCGCATTTACGTGTAAAAGCCCTTACAGAATGCTAATGGCCATAGACCAAGCGTAGTTTATTTGCCAGGACAACGCTGTCCAAAATGTAGGTTGTGCAATCACACATGCATGTAATACTTATGTCATACATGTGATACTACCTGCCAACAAGTTAGAAGTTGGTTGCGGTGCTGCAGAATACAGAATTGGGGTGAACTGTATTTAAAAATGTGATTTCTATCGATTTCATTTGTTACACTCAACGGTTAAGCAATATTGTGACCGTAATAGAAAATTACTATCTTTTGTTGAAGTTAAAATCGCTGTTTTTTGCATAAGTTAACCTCTGCCCATTGTTTATAATGTTTAAATATCACTGATCATACAGTTTGTTAATTACTTTTGAGAAATCTGAGTGTACTGAAGATTATTTTGAAGTGACTAGTTTTTTGTTCAAGATTTATCTGTCATTAAAGTTTTAAAATGGGAAAACCGTGCCATAGTAGCTGGGAAGGTTTCACTAAAATAAGAAATAATAAAGGAGTAATAAAGAAGGCTAAATGCAACAACTGTTTAAGTGTTTACACGAATCATGAAAGCAAATTTCTTGCAAGGCACAGGTATGTTTTACAGTCAAAAAGTCTATTGAGTTAATGTAATACTTTCATACTTGGTAGATTTTCTTTTATTACGTCTATTGCATACTGTTACAGGATTATTTGTATAAGTCCAGTAAATACTAATCTCAGCTCACCTGAGACATCAACCTACACCAGTAATACTTACCATGCTGTACAAGCCATTGGACTTCCTAAAAAGGATTATGAATATGAACGGCAAGAAACACAACTGGTTAGTTTTTTCGTAAATTTTTTACTTTTATAAAATTTTATTAACGCTATCACAACATTATGTGCCGATATTATGCTTTTATTGCAAAAATAGACATTCTAGAAACAAAGAAATTAAAATTAACAATTGGGATTCCAAAAAGTCACGTGTCTCTCGCGATATATATAGCCAATGGGGGGGGGGGGAAATAAGACAGGCCTTACAGGTACAATTCTATCATTATTTTTTTTAAACGTTCAACGATTGTCATAAGATAAAAGCCTTTCAATAATATGTTTTCGAGGAGATGACGATACCTTAGCTATTTTTTGCCAACTCAATTAGTCTTTTGCAGCTTAAAACTTTGAAAGTGCGAAAACGCACATTAAACCTCACCAAAACACTGCTTGTTTTCCTATATAATGTAGTCGGGAATGGGAGAACTTTGTACAAGTTAAATGTGCGTTTAGCACTTTCAAAGGAAAGTTTTAAACTGCAAAAGACATTGAGTTGGAAAAAAATAGCTAAGGTATTGTCATCTCCTCAAAAACATGTTATTAAAAGGCTTTTATCTTATTAGAATCGTTGAACGTGTAAAAAAAATAAAACTAGAATTGCACCCATAAGGCTTATCTTATTTTACCTCCCATTGGCTATGTACATCGCGAGAGTAACGTGACCTTTTATTTTGATATTTCTTACAATTGAAATCACATTTTCTGCATCTATATGTAAAACGCGAACTTTCGTAATTTCAAGTTCGATATCTCGAAAACGCATCAAGAGAGATTTTTGAAATTATTTTTCCCATTATCCTTGATAAGTTCTTTATCGAAAACCACACTTACTTTTTGTCACCACATGGATCGTAAGATCCCCAACTTCTCTGTTCATTTCAGTGTTGATTTGGGAGGTGGATGAGATGACGCATACTTAGCCTCACGCCGAGGTAGCCTCACCAGGGACGAATCGGGCTTAGGAGGGCCTTGGGGTTTAAAATTTTGTTAATGAGCTTGTATCAGGTGAAAACTACAGATATCGTTGCACTTCTCGCATCGACGACTTCTATGAATTTTTTAAGCCGTGAAAAGCTGCCAGGCCTTAAAAAATAAGAGTTTCCGCGGATACGCGTATCAGCGCATAGAAAAAAAAATCAGGAAAAAAATCATAACTTTTTTTCAGGCTCTTGTGCCACCAAAAAAACGAATAAAATATATCTCTGTTATATCAACTTATCATCTCTATTGGTTTTTTAAGCTGAGAAAGGTCGCCAGGCCTTAAAAATTGAGAGTTTTCCGCGAATACGCGTATCAGCGTATACGGAAAAAATCGGGAAAAAAAATCATAACTTTTTTGAAAGCTCGTGTGCCACTAAAAAAATGAATAGCATACATCCTAATCATATAAACTTATAATCTCTATTAGTTTTTTAAGCTGTCAAAGGCCGCCGGGCCTTGAAAATTAAGTTTTCCGCGGACTTTTAAGTAAGGCTAGTTTCAGCTCCATATTTTCAAGGTGGCACAAAAGCCCAAAAAAAAGTTATAAATTTTTTTCTGATTTTTTTGTATATGCGTATTTGCGTATCGGCGGAGAACTCATCATTTTCCAAGCCTGGCGGCCTTTCATGGCTTGGAAAATGGGTAGGAATCGTGTATAGTAGTAATAGAAACATACTTTATCAATTTTCAAGGTGGCAAGGTAGTTTCAGCTCCATCTCATCTGAGGTTGTAGATAATATGTGTATTGATAAAATAAACGTAAGATAGTTATTTTTCTACATCCAGAATGTCAGAAAATTTCTACTACATTGATTTTATGCAGAAATTATTATGAAAAAACCAGGTGTGGGTTTCGGGATTCCCGGCAGAAATGAAACTTCCAACTTAAATGTTATTAAACTTGGTATAACAGAAAGTGAGAAAATTAGATTACACCTTATTTCAATAGGTCTTTAAGAATCTCATATTAAAATAGTAAAAATTGTATTATTAAGTATTTGAGCACGCGCGTGCATAAAACACATATATTTATGTTACATGTGACGCATGTTACACGCGTTTTAAATACTTCTATGTTTGCTATATGTATTAGTTTATGTACACGAATTGTTGGTTATGTAATGCAGAAACAAACAAAAGTTTTCACCATAGTGCCCCGAAAAAAGGTACTTTTGTCTAGTTACGCGGGACAAAAGTACTATTTATTTAAAATTTTTTATTCGTGCATCTAATATGATATCATGTACTTACAATCAACTCTTGTTGGAATCATTGCATCTGACGAATTTTTTTTAATTTTGGGTACCGTCAAATTAAAATAATCCACTCTATCTGATTGAGATTAAGGGAAACAATTGACATATAGCTATTTTTCATTGTAAAGTTGTAATTTGTCATTAAATTCGTTTTCTATGATTATTTATAAAATAATATTAAAATTTACCAGTGCTTATGACTAATTTCTACTAATATTAAAATGAATAATTAGAATATAGGTTGTGGTCACGTGAAAATTATACATGATAATACATGATAGAGAATAGAATTTAAATCAATTTATATCTAGGATATGTAGGATGTAGCTTTGCCTTTGAGATTTGACTTATTATTTTTAGAATAATTACGATTGTTTGAATGAATCCGTGTAACATATATTTTTGCTCCTCAATAATTATTTTCTATACATGGAATTATTGTTGGTCTATTTGGCTTTCCTTTTGAGATACTGCTGTTTTTCTAACTTTGAAAGGTTATGTTGTAACAAAAATTTTTCGAAGGTTTTGTCAAAATTTGTATTAATATTCTAAATATGCTATACTGAATAAAAAAAATATTTTTTTACTTGTTCTTTTCAAGATACAGTCGAAAAAGGAAACAATTAAGATTATGTTTGTGCATAGTCCAACCCTGCTATATTTTTGCACCTTGATCATATAGTTCCCCTTTAGGAGGCCCGTAAAAATTATTATTTTTAGCCAATTTTGCTTCCCTTTCGAGAAACAGCTTTTTTTCTTGTTTTCAAAGGTAATATGGTCGTATTATACATATTTAATACTTAATGCAACGTAATGCACGTTTTTTTACATACATGTATACATATGAACATGTATGGAATGACCGGGACGTGCAACACACACATATATATCTATACATATATATATATACGTATCCAAAATACATACGTATACTTTGCCTCTAGTACAGGTACAGCTGGAAATTTTTCTCTTTTCTCATTTCTTCATATACCGGTACCTTATCAGCTTAAGCAAGCACATCGGTTTAGTGTTTAATTGTATCGTATAGAAACATACATACTAACACATCTATAATATATGTATACATTTATAGGTATAGAACCAGCGTGAGGGGAAAGGAGCATTAGTGATTAGTCGACCGCCATTTGAAGCTCATGGGGACTTTGGTCATATACTTGCATGTATGTATGTATCCATATATATATATATGTATATCGTGACGTATATATATGCTAAATGATGCGTTGTCAAGCTCACGCCTTTCCCCATAATATCAGGAAGCGCCGTCGAGTGAGAGAAATTGTCCCTTTTGAAAAAGGTTATTGAGAGTGGATTGACCAAATAAATTTGTGATTAGATCGTGTATTATGTTAGTGTACAGTAATAAATTTTTTTTGGTGTTGTCATGTGTACTACAAGATTGGAAAAAATAAAAACATGGGTTGCGACCGTAAATAACACAGCATATATGAGTATATACATGCTTGCACTTGTGCGGAGCTTGAGAAACACAGGTATTGCTTACATTTATCTATTCCTCATAACGCAGTGTTCAATAAGAGAGTGGCGTTGGCTCAGTGGTAAGCGTGCTTGTTTCTGATACAACGCAGTTCTAGGGGTCGTGGGTTCGATTCCCGGTGAATGCAGATTTTTTCAATAACTGTTTTCATCGGGAAAAGTTCCTATGTAACCCCGGCTGTTTCGGGGCAGGTTTTTCCGTGGAATTTTCCTTCAGAGTAATTCCATGGTTTTTTCCTTGCCCCACAGGTTTTCGGGCCTGGGTGAATGCGAAACAGTGTTAGGGCTATAGGTAGGGATTAACGGACCCGATGCCAGGCGTCGAGCAGGGATTGCCGGTCTTACCGGCGAGGAGTGGCTCCTGAAACACGGGGCTTTCCTGGGGATACTAATTAGCCTGGATCCGATGCTTCGGCAGAGAGCGCCAGCTTAACCGGTGAGGAGTGGACGTCCTGGAATAATGGAGTCTTCTCCAGAGAAAGGCTACACAGTGGTGAGTGGACCCGATGCACCATCGGTACAGAGAGTGTTAGCTTAACTGGCAAGGTGTTCCACCGGAGATACTCACACTGTGCCCATGGATTCAGGTAGGATGCGAGGAAAAAGGTTTAGAGATGGGTGTGGTAATACACCCCCACACATAGGTGGTGAGTGGGTGGCCCCCGCGACTAGGCCAAGTAGGCTGTCGTGGTAACCCGGTATAAAAAAAAAGAAAAAAAAAACACAGTATTCAATAAACGTAAGTACTAATGACAGGTTAGGTTATCTTTTATAGATTTATATAACGTTTCCGTGGATTACCTGTATCCTTTAAGGTGGTTCTTCACCTAACCCATTTACCTAAACTTACAGGGAAACTTGGAGGGATTGTTATTAAAGTTATAAGGCATCTTCTCTTAAAATTTCAAGTCCCTTTATCAAGAAAATTTTTGAAAACAAGTCAGTCAAAAAATGCACTTTTAACATGTATTCTTATGTAGGTTACTTTTCCATACTACGATATCATGTAATATCTCGTAAAATAGACTTAAGATCGTAATAGAAAAAGTTTGTAGTGAAAGAAGAACTTTTCAGCTTTCTAATAATATAACAAAAGTTTGGGCTAATCAGGGAAATGGTATACGATATTTAATCGTAAACGAAATGTCTGCCGTGTAAACTGCGGCCATGTCTGCTTGAGTAGGAGCGTACATGCCATTTTCAGAACCTTGCGTCAAAAAAAAATTTTTTTATAACTCTTACTTTGACTTTATTAGCATGTTTATTTGTATGTAAATGCAATAATATTATAGTAAAGTGCCAGTACAACATATTTTATGTTACAAATAATACGTTAATCGAAAATTAGAAAACCACATTGTCCCGTGTCGCTTTGATACGGCACCATCGTGAAGAACCACCTTAAGCTTTACACAAGTACAAGCATGTATAATGCACTTATATATGCTATGTTATCATAGACGCAATCTATGTTTTTATTTTTTCCAATCTTGTAGCACACATGACAACACCAAACAAAATTTATTACTGTACAGTAACATAATACACACTCAAATGATTCATAATTCATTTGGTCCATCCACTCTTAATAACCTTTTTTTAAATTTATTAAAAAATTTTCCTATAAGGCTCCGTGCATTCTGGCGATCTTAACGAGGGTTAATTTCTCTCACTCAATGGCGCCACCTGACATAGGCGCATAGCGAATATAATCTCGTCACTGAATTCGGTCCATCCGAGCCTGCTACGGACAGTTATACAGTGGCTGGATCACTTTCGGTGCCTTAACGGGTCCGTATCCCGATCAGAAACCTTAGTGGGGTGCTGATGGGGTCCACACTAGGCTGCCAAATTAACCACATGTGGTCCTAGAATGGCATCGTCACGGGGCGTAGATGTGGTCCTCTCTAGTGTGGCCCAAGAGGAAAGAAAGCTTACCTAACCCTTTGTATTTTTTGTGTAGGTATATCATTAAATTTAATACAATTATCATAAGAGCATGTGCCTGATTTACCATGCGTGCTATGCAGATTATGGAGTTTATCGGCCGTGCAGATAAGGAAGAATTAAATTACGGTCACATATTTAACCCAAACACGAATATATATAATGTTTTCAACAGTTTTCGGTAGGTTACTGGGGCAGCCTACGATGGACCCTCAACTCGCCCAGTGACGCGCCTAATAGGGTACCAATTTGGCAGCCTAAGGGGGACCCCATTAACTAAGGTGGCAAACCCATTAAATTTCTGATCGGGCTACTCACCTGGTAACACCGTCCATATGGGCCATTGACATTAGTGTCCGGTAGCAGTAGATGACCCGTATGGTACCTTCAGGCAAACCGGAGACTATTTCTATTCGGCGCGGTAGACAGTAGAGTGGCGTGCGCTGCGAAACAGAGAGACGGAGTGGGAGGGATAAGAGAGGAGATTGAGGAGAGGGCTTGGGCAGCACGGTGGATGGCTACGTTTTTCGCAACCCATTTCCCCTCACGCGGCTGTTTACGGCCTAACATAAGAAGTTTCATTTCAAAAACGTTTGACAAAGTTGCATTAATCTTTTGCAGGGGGGGGGGTACATTTTTTTGAAGGTTATTTTAGGGTAGTAGAAGAGTTCCAAGTCCCAATCCTGTCGCTAATAGCAGTTTTCAATAAGATCTTGGAATATTCTATTCATTGATTTCGATTGCGGCTGGGGTATAGTATTGACCAAATTGCACTTTTTATATTAAGATATAATTCATAATCAAGATACAAGATCATGAAAATACTCTGTATTTTTACGAATTATGACGTTTCTTAACTTTTGCAAAAGTTGCGGCAGGTAATTTTTTTATACACTGAAGGCTCAGCTCGTAGTTAACCTATAAAAGAAAACTGTTTTTCTAATAGACCATATGCTGAGGCTGACGGGTGGTCAAAATTTTAACCAGCCGCCACTTTCATCAGAATTCAGGAACTTCATAATTCGTAGAGATCCGAAATATTTCGGTTATATTTCATAGTGGTAAAGAGTCATGTGGTAATTATAGTTGTGCTATATGATCTTTCTTATTAACCAGCCGCAACTTACACCAATAGATAGAAAATAAGAAGTTGTCTTGTGGAAGTGCTATTTGCGGCAAGAATAAAATGCATTTTGTACCCGAAAATTGACCTCCAAAAATATAGATATTGTATTCTTATCTACAATGTTATCTACAGTGCATCATCTATTGTCTTAGATGAGTATTATAGATAAGATCGGGTAGGGGGTCTATTTTTTTGAAGGTCGATTTTCGGTTACAAGATGCATTCTAATCTTACCACAAATGGCACTTCCAGATGACAACTTTTTGTTTCTATCCATTGGTGTATGTTGGGGCTGGTCAGTAAAAAGGATCATGTGGCACAACTATAATTACCACATTACTCTTTACCACTATGAAATATAACCGAAATATTTCGGATCTCGACGAATCATAAAGTTCCTTAATTCTGACGAAAGTGGCGGCTGGTTAAAATTTTGACTACCCGTCGGCCTCAGCTCTTGGTCTATAAAGTGAACATGCTTCGTTACTTCTAAAGACGGTCCGCGCTCTGAATTCTAAACGTTTGAAACGTTTATTGCGTCTGTTTAAATCAAATTGGAAGTATCGACCATTGTTAAAATAAGGTAATATAATTAGTTGGGTTTTTAAAAAACATAATAACATGAAAAAGATACTAGGTACTTTTTAAGTGCAGTATAGTTGTCTGTTTTTATGGAGGGAATGAAAAAAAATAGACTTAAAGTTTATCTGTTTTAGATTTAGACCAAATATTTTCTATCTCATCATATTATATGTAAAAACACAAAGTTACAGTAGTTTTGTATCCATTTAAGTGTTGATTAAAAAAATATTTCTAGTAATATACGTTATTTGTGCTCTTAACCTATAAACAAATACCTGATCACATGTTGTGCTAGGAAATGATTGATAACAATTGTTACTTGAAAGTAATGCATGGAATTTTTGGAATCAAAGCATTTGCCTACACACTTGCTATTTAAGTATTGAGACAAGCAATATGGACACGTTTGCTGGTACAATAATTACGAACTTTCTGACTTGAAATTGTTTTTTACTAAATTTCATGATTCATGAACATAGACGTGTTAAATTAATTTTATTATATCAAATATCTGTTACGATTCTTTATTAGGTAAACAATGCCACGTCCTAGGCATAACAACTGGTTTGGTTTCAAAGAAATCAGAGATGAAAAAAATATAATTATTGCTGCTCGATGCAATACTTGTGGTGTGCGCCTTGCCAAAAAAAGTGCTGATGGTTTGAGATCTCACAGGTAAGTTAAATCCTATTGTACAGCTCATGTGAAATAATAATTACAACAAAAATGTTTTAAATACTTGAAATCACTTGAAATGAATAAAACAAGGAACTCAATCATCTAAACATACATGAGTCGAAATAGTAACTCTTTGTTTTAAGACATTACACTTATTTAAAACATCAGTTTTTCAAAATTTATTAAGTTTTCAGTAGAAATAATATATTTTAAGGCTACCATTATAGTTATAAAAATAGTAAACAAATTTTTTATTAATACTTGATAATATTTATTCATCATTTTTAGAAGAGTATGCTTACTCCAGCAGGCACAGATTGATGCAGAAAATGTTGAGTACTGTTCGAGCAAACAAGTTGCGCGAGAGCGCGACGAGGCAAGTACTCCTCTACCAAGTACATCAAGTAAGTTTAAGAGAAATAAATCAACTGAAAGAATCTCAACGAATTATTTGCCAAATTGTCCATGTCAATCAAAGGAACCTCAATTGCTGCCTTCACCAACAAATATGTCGATACTCCACCAACCTGTAAGTAGTTTTTATATTTTAGATAAATATTGTTCAATTTACTTACAGACTACCAAGTACAGGAAACCTAATCTCTAAATGTATAGATGATATACTCCTAAAGTGCTCCAACTTAAAAAAAAAGCTATTGAATAACAGATTGCTGTTTTAACTTTTTTTCTAAAAGTGTTTATCTTGCTTGTATTAAAAAGCTGTAAATATACCTATATACATGGTACTTGTATTTTGGTTTAAACTTTCTTACATTATATATCATACTTATATCTTTAAAACCCTATAACACAAAATCGCACTTGTTTGATTTCTCATGATTCCGACTTGCATCTTGCATCTCCCTGTAAAATTCCAAATAGTCTGGTCTCCACGATAGTGGGTTGAATAATTTTTACTACAGCTTCAGTAAGTTCAATAAAATTCTAAATTATATTTGATACCATATGACGATCTTCCTTTGACAGTAAAAATATCTTATTTAACATAATGGTTTCTTAAAGAAAAAAATGGTCCATTGATTTTTAAGTAGAACCATGATTAACGGATCAAACGAACTTACCTGTAAGTGAAGTTCGATTTAAATTATACAAAGCCTCGTTTGAAGATGTTACATGTTACATACCCTCCCCTCCCATATTAGATGTCACAAGTTTGGAGTAGTTTTTTTTTTTTATCTCATCGCATAAGTGGCGCTTACCTGTCATCATTCCCTTAAAGTGTTTTGAAGTCTGTATTTTGCTGGGAAAAAAGGAGGGTGGGTTGAAATCTCTTCAAACAAAGCTTTGTAGAGTTTGGATCGAACTTAACTTACCTGGTAAGTTAGTTTGATCCGTTATTTATACTTTATGACTCGTTCTCGGGATTACATGCTGTAGCTGTTTAGAGCTGGTAGCAATATCAGACTGTCCCATTGAATGTAAAACTAAATCATTATTTTACATTTTTATTTTGATCATGAGCACGATCAATACATTAAAAACAGGGACGAAGGGTCGGCTTTGTATGACCATTCCGTAGTGTCCACAGGGTTTCGATTTTGAGAGAGTAGTGATTCTTGATCAAGAACCTAATAAATACAATCGTAAAAAGTTTA